TGGGTGAAGGGAGACATCGGACAGGGCAAGATTTGACAAAAATTTATAAATTATCAAGGGTTCATGAGGGAGGGGGGAGTGGGGAGGAAGGGGCAAAAATGAGGACCTGATGCCAGGGGCTTGAGTGGAGAGCAAATGTTTTGAGAATGATGAGGTCAATGAATGTACAAATATTCTTTACATAATTGTTATATGTATGGATCGTGATGAGTTGTATGAATCCCTCTATAAGTAACACGTTCTCAGGGATCCCTGGTGACACAGTGGTTATGCATTGGACTACTCAACACGAGGCCAACAGTTCGAAACCACAAGCAGCTCTGCGGGATAAAGAGGAGGCTTTCTACCCCCGTGCAGAGTTGTAGTATTCCTCTACTTCTTTATTGTGTCCTCCCCCCGCCCCTCTATCATCACCCCAATTCTACCTTACAAATCTGGCTAGACCAGAGCATGCACACTAGTCAGATAAGAGCTCTTGACACACAGAATCCAGGACAGATAAACCCCTCAGGAGCAGTAATGGGAGTAGCAATACCATGAGGATGGTGGGAGGAAGGGGGAACCAACCTCAATGATTGACGTATAACTCCATCCCTAGGGGAACGAAGTATTTGGAATGAGTTTTAAGTATCTCATTATATTCCACGAATTATTTCCTCCTTCCTGCCCTGAAGAATTATGTTACCTCTGATCTAAAGTAGTTTTCACAAAAATGCATATGTAAGGGTAGAGAGGAGATTCATTTCAGTTTATAATTTAGGGTAAATGAGTTGAAGGTAGATTGATAGTCCAACTGAGTTAACGTTATATTATGAGTGGTGAATTGCAAAGAGTTTTTCTTTCCACTGAGTAGCCTTTAAAAGATTAAGATTTTGTCCAAGATTGATGTTCTGTTAGCTTGCATGTAAAAAAAAAATTACAAATTTATTTGAATTGCCATCTTGATTTATTTTAAAACAAAAGTAACACTGGGAGAGAACAAGAGACTGACATGTCTTGAGACAGTAATGTCCCTGTAAATACATTATTTTCTCCCAACAATTTTCCGGTCTAGGTTACGTTTTGTCACACCGATGAGGAAGCTGGGTGCTTTGTACTGTGCTGAAATAAATATTCCTTATTAGTGTTATTCCAACAGGACTATAAATAAACATGAAGCATGTAATGAAAATCTATAACTAAATTGAATTTGCTTGGCATACAGGGAGACAGAAGAGCAAAATGTTTGAAGTTAAAGAGAAAAATGTGTGAAATATAATGTGGGTGAGGGAGTCTTCAGTCAGAGCTCACTCTTTACTTGGCCTGTAATGTGCGCTAAAGGGAAAACCCACAAATGCAATGCGGTGGAGACGCTGGCAAAGCAGATGCCGGACTAGACCTCCAGGAGCGCACACTGGAGATAAACCTCATGAATATAAATGGACATAGGAGGGTGTTTACCTGGGCACGTTCCTTATTAACTATCCGAGAAAGCATCCCAAATGGAGACCTTATGGAAGCAGTGAACTCACTGAACCTCAGAGAATTCGTATTAGAGCTAAGCTATGTGAATTTGGTAAATGTGGGATCGTAAAGCCAGATTTAATTCTATATCTTAGTTCAGACTTTAGTTTATCAACCTGGGTGGCTTAGTGTATTCTGAAGAATTTAATAAAGTACATTTTCTTATGGAAAATGTGAAACATTCCATCACCTTTAGTGCCTTTTAGGAAGGTGTTAGGAAGGGAAAGCTTGGGTTACAATATAGAGTCTTGATTTCATATGCTTAAATTATTCATATTTACATCAACCTATAAAGAAAGTACCTAAATTTTTTTCTGCACTCTAAAATATATAAATGAATGTCCCTTATTTTCTTCATTCTTTTTCCCTGAATTTTCCCTGAAAATTATTTACTTAGTGCAAATCAAAAGTATACAGTCACTATCCAGCCCCCATTCCTCACGATTAAAATGTTAACATATGTGTTCAGAAATTTTCAAAGAAAAAAAGAAAGAAATTTTCATGTCCATCCCCTAACTCTCCAAAAGCACTTTGCATACTGTACCACCACATGGTATTTCTTATTGGACTGTATTGAATGCATGTCTTCTAGTCAATAAATATAAATCTTTATTATTTCTAAAAGATAATGTATCATGACTTATCTCACCGAACCCTCTTTAATGGACAAAATATTGTAATAAAGAATTCTGTGTGCTTGTGCAAGTATTCCTGAAAGACAAATCCCTAAAAGAAATGTATGTGTGTGTTTCTGATTTATATAGTTACTGCCAAATTTCACTTCAAAGAATATCTGTCATTTTCAAAAGCTGATTAAGACAATTATTTTTATTCTCAAAATGTCTGAAATGGCTAATATGAAAATTTTTTTTAACTATTTTAACTTTCAAAAACATCTATCATTTTGTGACATGGAAAAAGTAGTCTTATTTACAAATATGAATTAAATATTCTTGTGACCTATCTCTAAGGCTATCTCTAAGGAACAGGCTTGCCGGAGGCATTTTATTGATTTGAAAAATTTTTTGTTACGCAAAGTTCACCTTTTTCTATTTATAATAAATAATAGATTCTAATTCTATGTATAATACATAAGATAGAGACTTTTAAAAAGAATTAGTCATCAAAGAATAAATGTAATTGCTATGATGTAGAGAGCCCTCTCCCCAAAGCAAACATTTCTTCAAGTGTAGTTCAGAGAGAACTGTATTGCCCTGAGGGAAACAATGTGAGCCACAGAAGAATAACAGTCTTCGGGGGGCAGGGGGCAATGGTTGCCATACCATTCAGTATATTGCAAAAATGATAGATTTCTGAACTAAGCAATGGTGGTCTCAAAGATTTTATGTAGTACTTTTACTTCCTGTGATTATTAGATTGGTACAGATTTGGGTGTTGTAGTATTTTTATAACTGGAAATCACCACCAGTATATAATCATATAAACCAAGACTCCCAAGTCAAGTGGGGTGAGAGGCTTTTTCTGAAGCCCCTTTAGAGTTTATAAAGCTCTGGGGATCCTTCCAGGATACTATCTTTCTGGGCAAGCTTGAGCCAATGTACTATATAGGCTCTTCTTCTATTTTTAATACAAACTAATTATTTGAACCAATTAGTTTTACAAAATGGTTTTGCCCCTCTTCAGATTTCTTTCTGCATCCTTCTTTTCAGAGTAGATGAAACTTTTCTTCCCACTTGATTATCAGTATTTGGGGTTATAAAGAAATTTGCTGTATTTTGTTATTTCCCAACACAGTGAAAGATATAGAACTAGTAGAAGAGTAAGCTTAGATAGGTCAGACTTTAAATATCAAAAGTGAAGACGTAGTCTAAAACCTCTCTCTATAATGTAGAGGTCATTAAGATCACCAATTGAGATTAATATAGAACAGTTATGAGTTTAAAGGTATTTATTAAGAAAAAGAGACTCCTGATCTCATCTCTCATTTGAACAGAAGATCCTTTTAATCCATGATAATTCTTTCTTTTTCTATTTAATTTTTCACTCTACAAATGCTCTAATGTAGACAGATACCTAAAAGGAGCCATCATTTGCCTCAATTATAACCTTACCTTGCTTTGTGGATCAGTAGGCTGAGTGGCTGAATTGGGATAAATGGAGCAAGTAAATGACCAATGACGCAGTGTGAGATTGTCTTCCATGCGTCAGGAAAGGGCTCCTGGTTCATTTACTCACGGGTCCAAGGCTGTCCAAGCTGGTTCCAAAGACTGTTTGTTTATGGTGCTCCTTGAACGATTGATACAATCTGTTAAATTATCACAAAACAGGTATTTTTCTCATATTTTACTTCTGTTATAAACTGTATGGTTCCACATAATCCATCCTGACACAGTGCCCTCTTTAGAACTGTAGCTACTAAAATAACAATGAACTGAGAAACAGACAGTCAGCATTTTAGAGTCAAACAGGTCGTTCAGCCTCAGGCAAGCCACTTACCTCTGAATGTCCTGGTTTCCTCCATCTGTAGACAAGTTAGTTGTGTGAATAGTCATAGCTAAATTGCACATGACCAGTAATAAGTAATACAGAGACATATAAATTTTAATATATTACACATCATTCATAACTTTACATTTATGTGTTCGAATGGGGTCACCAGAAGAAATTTTTCCTAGAAGAAACTGGTATCAAGGAAATAGCTCACACATCTGTAAAAGTGGGTAAGTCCAGTCTGGTTCAAGGTTGTGGGTCAGATGTCAAGGCAAAATGTCAAGTTGCCGATAACTTCCAGGATCAGCACTGGCTGAACCACTGGCTCACAATCAGAGAAGTAGAGTTTGAGGAGATATGTTGAGGAGCTGTGTGATCCAGACCCTGCAGGAGGGAGAGAGCATTCCCACGGAGCCTCCTTCAGTAGGAGTGAGACTCACCAAGAGGAATCTTCCTTTGGATTATGCCCAGGCTGTGACCTGACCCACAGGACAGCACCCCATCCTAGTCTTCCCGCAACTGCCTGGCGATACATAGAAGATCCGTCATGGAGTTGATCCCATTGTGCTAGATCACATCCTGAGAGAATTCTGGCCCAAAATCTGCCTATCACAATTTCCCTTATAAAGTGCTCGTACACCATGAAAGTATTAAATTCTGGTATATTTTAATGTCTTAGGACAAGCTTATATTCAGTGGGTTTGTCCCTTTCTAATATAAATCCTCTACAGTGTGTGTAGTAGAAATATTTTTACCCAAGGGCTTTTCAATTGTGTTTGTGAGTGCCCTTAAGGCTTCTCTGGTCTGAATCAATTCATCCATGGGACACTGGCCAATTGTGGAGCAGCCTCTGATCACGTAGTGAATGCACTGTGCGCATTTGAATGTGTACGTCTCCAAGGAAATTGTAATTATAATGGAATGTGTTTAAATATGTGTCCATTACCTGAAATCTATACCACCACATCATTATTTCAAAATTCATTGCTAAGTACGTAATTTGACTTTTATGTTCTAATTCTTCATGATTCTTTCTTTGTGTAAAGGTGGGACATCTTGGGAGCTGTCATCGGTACAGAATGTGGAACCATCGAGTCTGGTTTATCATTGGTCTTCCTCACGGATGGCGAGAGGAAATTATGCACTCCGTACATGGACACTACCGGTTATGGGAACCTGAGGTTTTACTTCGTTATGGGTAGGTATATGTTGAACAAACTTGGTGGATCCAGGTCAGATTCTAGGCTGGCACCTATTCCTGCAGAAGTAAAATGGCTCATTGTCTGCAATGGAAACTGAAAATATACAAAAATAGGAGTTCTGTTGGCAGAGCCAAATCCTGTGGTGATCATACATGCTTCAGACTAGCCCTGCTGGAATCATTCTGTAAGACAGCAGGTCTTGGCATGCCATCGCTAGGTCTAAAGACAGAATGCTTTTAATAACTTCCTCTCACCTCTCCCTAATGGTCATGGCTCAGAAGACAATGGGAGAGAAACTGAAAACAAAGTGACTTATTTGTTCATAACCTCTAGCTTCTCCCAAAGCAGTCATCCGGGAGTCATTGTGTTCCTGGATCTCTCCTCACTGCCTAACTCTCTCATGAGAGAATGCTGAGAAAGGATCAGGCTGATAGTACTTTGGGGTCTCCTCTACTTTATAATACATATTGAAGGGCAAGCACGTTGTAAAACGTGTCCATAAGACATGTTTTCCCTTACATCAGTGTAGAGTAAATAAATAGTTGATGCAAAGTTTTTACCCAAGGAGAAATTAAGAGGCTGCGATTGTGATGCCTCCAATGTATCCTTAGTCAACGAGAGTGCTTTTCACTGGCTGTCCTTCCAGAGATGCGAGAAGGCATCAATCACATGCCTCCTTTGTGGAATGACTGGAAAAGCACAGGCAACACCTGCAAGTGAAACAGGAAATAACATTGTCCACCCTTTGGACTTAGGAGCAAAGGTGTCAGCTCACCAGGACAAACAGGCCGCCTGAGTCTAAGCTTCGGTAGTAGAGACGTTTGCTTACATTCTTCGCCTCAGAGTCCCAGGGTCAACTACAGATTGCAGAGTGTGTTCAAGCACGTGACCAGGTGATGCTGCCGTGTTTTCAGCAGTGATGCCTTTGAGAGCAGGAAAATGTTGTGGGCACTATAAAATATGAAGTATAATAAGATAATCTTTTGAAATTTAAGGGCATCAGCACTTTGACTTTGAAATGATTTGTATACTTAAAAAAGCTAGAGCTTGTTTCCTTTGATTATTTAAATTCTTCAATAAGACTGGCTCTATTTTGTTAAAAGTGATGCCTAGGAAACTTTAGTCAAGGGTGGAGGGAAGTTGTCATAAACATTCAGGCATACTAGTTTAACTAATTTTCCTTTTTGCTGTTATTGGTATATTTTAATTCTTCTCTTTGTTTCCATAGTAAATCAACTCCATAATGTAATATACAATGCAATGTACATATAATGTAATATACAATATATGAGATTAGGTCATCTTTAATATTTCCTGAAACAAACTAGATTATTCATTAATGAACTAAAATATTGTTATGATGGAAAAGGTCATCCGAGTAAGCCCAAAGAAGTACATTATTGCAAAACAAAAACAACTCTAGTAAAATTTTTAAAAGAATGCTTATTGAGCATAGACTCAGCTAGGATATATAGAAAATACAAATGGCACCTAGTTCACAGAGCTGTTTATTAAATACTTTCGTATATGCATAGCACTTCAAGCAGTACCTAGTAAATAGACTCAAATATATCATTGTATTTATTGATTTTTTAAAAAAATATTTAGACCGAGTCCCTATTCTCAGGGAGCTTATAGAGCAAACAAACATACTACGTGTAACTGTAGGAGAGAACGTAGTTTACTGTAATAGAATGAAAATGCTATGGAAGTGCACAGCTAACAGTAGGCGATGCAGTGGAAGGATCAGGGCAAGGAAGAAGATAGCATATGAACTCCACCCTTGAAGGATGTCCGTGATTTGCATTTAAGAGGAGAAGTGAATTCTAGCTAAGCCAGCATGTTGAGAAAAGGTTTCTTTTTTCAGGCTAGCATGTGATAGGAGTCTATAGAAAACACCTTGACAACTTTATTGGCTGATAGAGAAGAAATCCATTTGGGCAGAGGGGCCCAATGAGCTAGTTTTAGGGAGCTCTTTATTCAGTGTAGTGCCTGAGGAAACGCTGTATTTTTGTCAGATGTAGCCCAGGTCTCACTTGCTCGCGCGCTCAGACGCTGCCTACAAACGGTTTTGCCCGGGGTTTTTCCTCTGATCCAGATCGCCCTGTTGTGACTACCATTTCTGGAAAACATGCTCAACTTGCAAAAGCTCAGTTCAAGCCCTGTTTCCTTCCTTCACACATTCTTTCATTCAGTGGATATTCTCTCTGGGCTTGTAGCCATCCCTGTTCCTGGTGCCAGATTTCCATGAACAAGAAGAAAATGGATGTGAGATGCACTTACCTTCTGACACTCATCCATTATTCATTCATTCATTCACTTGTTAAATATTCCATTGGCAAATATTGCCCGAGCATCTTCTATGCACTCAGTGCTCTTCGTCGTACATCTCTCTTTTCTCCGAAAAGCTGTGTAGTTGTGGCAGCACAGCGCAGTGTAGAGTTCATTATTCTGTCTCCCAGGCTTGTGTTCCTGGCTAAATCCTGAAACTTTCTAAATCAAGGCTTATTTCTCTTCCTACCCTGCTGACTAAATAATCAATCTTGAACAAACTCACTCTCCTACTATAAACAACTCAAAACTGCTTAACACCGTGTTTTAAATATTTTAAAACTGACCCTCCATCTAGTTTTTATTGAAATCTTTCTGGAGCTTAATTACTGTCCAGGATACCCCCCATCGTCCCTTCCTCAGTGCATCAAAAGGTGGGAAGAGGAATCCATATCTTTTTGTAGGAGCTGCTGTCACTGAGACGTCACCGAACTGATAAATTGCCCCCTGAGGGACCCTGCAGACGAAGACTGTCATCATTTGACAGCCTGGGCTCATTTTGGACTTTCTTCTTCTGTCACTCTGGTTGGTGAGACTCCGGGTGTAGCCAATCCTCTTTGAAGGGCATGAGCTGCACATAGGGAAGGCAGCAGGGAGGATTGACAAGGCAACTACCTATGACGTGAGAGAGAAGAGGCTGTGGGTGTGGTGATCTGAGCCCTCACTCCTTTCCACCTTTCTTCTTTTTTGATAAGTGTTACATATATATGCTCAGTGGTCAATAAAGTGTTACATTTTCCAAAAGCAAAGGCAGTTTTCTTGTGGCTCTTTTATCCACTATTGTTTAGAATGCCTTTATTAGCTATAGCTATCGTAACTCTGAAATATATAATGAAATGCTCAAAAATAGACTCTCAACTGCCACAGCTTCAGACTTACTCTATAGATTGGGCCTCTGAGCAGTGAACATCTCCTGCGATGAATTCTACATTATTTCTGAATCCAGTTTCTCTCATCACAATCCAGATGTTCCATTCTATAAACATTTATATGACAAGTTTCATGTATGTTTCTAACATGTCTTATGCCAGATTTCAATATTTTATGAATTTCATCCACTAAGACTTACCTACTCAAGGATCTGAAGTGTTTAACGTGCAATATTGCAAGGCTAAAAACGTGCTTTACTAAAGTATGTAACCAGCTAAGATTTGGAACCTAACCTCTCTTGGCTTAAAATTTCTCACGGTAAAGTGGATATATTACTACTTGGCTGACTATATTGCTAAGAGTTAAAAGAAATAATGTTTGTACTTCTTGTTACACTTTCACTTTTACATTCCGTTTAAACTCAATAGGTACTAGGTGTTATTACTCCCACATTATTAATACTCCAAGAGCTTGTTGCAAAAGAAACCTTGATCTAAACAGTACTAGCCATCACCATTTGGCAACAACTCTACCAAACTAGAAAATTGCCAATTTCCTTGATAAAACCAAATTATTAATCAGATTTTTTCATAAGTGACTTAAATATAAAATCCATTCTATCCTGAACTGGAATATTTCATATACACCCAGATACTTTTAGACCAATTTATGCCCAGATATTCCAAGTAATTTTACTTTTAACATAGGTAAATTTCATTTTCAATATTTGCACATTATGTAGTATACAAAGACAATGTTCTGTATCCTCCTCTAGTGAGTAGCTACTGGGGTCTTTAAAGCTTGTGCTATCCAAGATGTAATTCTTGGTTTCTTTCTATCAAGAGAAAAAGAAAGAGTGATGAAAGTTGAAGACTCATGGAAACAAGTAATCCAGTGGAATAATGGACATTAGTCTTCATGACCCTGAGACCAGAGAACTAGAGAGTATCTGGCTACCACCAACTAATCACAAAATTAGAAGTTCCTCTATCGAGTGGGAGAAAAATCTGAAACAAGCTGAGAAGAAAGAAAAACACAACTAAATGTACTAGTCAGATAGAGACTTGTGAACGGCCTGAGAAAGACTGTAGTCCTTAGTCACCCTTCAGGTCTGGAACGGAATTTACCCTGTGACTTAATTTTCAACCAAAAATAGAAACGTGCATAAAGGAAACAGTGACACTAGTGAGAAGTGCACATCTTAGAATGATCAGCCATTGGAGGTCAAAAGGGCAGCATCTACCCAAGGACAAAGTTCAGAAGGGTCAAGAAAACAGGAATGGAAATAGGAAATACAGGGAGGAAGTGGGATAAATGATGTTACATTGGGGGGGGGGGGAATCCTGCAGTCAATGAAATGAAACAAAATGGAGAAAAAAAATGAAACACATATGTATGTTTTGATCATAGTAAAATTGATTATCTACTCTGTAAGCCTTCATCCAATTCATAATACCAAGTTTAAAAAAAACATTTGAATGACACAATCTCAATAGTATACTTCTAAACAAATCAATTATTATTGAATTATTAAGGTAGGTAGTTGAACATTGTTGTACATATGGACATGAAATATGGATGTCATATAAACAGGGCAGTTAGCCAATCAGGATGGGCTTTCCAGGTGATTTTTTAAAACAGTTTTATTGACTTATCTTCATATTCCATGCAATTCAATAAAGGTGTTATGGTCAACTGTGCAAGTCTCAGGTATATAGATTTTAAAGAATGATTTTCTTAATGACCCTACAAGTAATGACTTCAAGACTGGCTCATGCTAAGAAAATTCAGAGAAGGGTTATGGAAAAACTAGAATTCCTTTGTTAATAGGCCACTCAAAAAGTACAACTGTTAAACACTGAGGAAGAATGGGTGTTTATGGTATCAAGACAAACATATCTATCATCTGGTCATTTTAATGACAGAATCCAGAGCTCTAAATGGCCTGATGCATCTTGCTTCGCTGTAGGGCACATCTTGCCAAAACAATCCCCTATATTTGGTATTGGTCACTAAGAACACCTCCCTTTCTGCTAAGTGGATGTACACTTCCTATGAGAGTCTTGCTCTCGAACCTCCCATCTTTTCTGACTAACGTACCTGCTGTTATTAGGATCTTTCTTGATACATTCTAGGTTCTCACTTTCATACTTCTCATCAGGCATCAGTAATTTCTCCCTAAAGTTATATCCCAGTCACTAAGGTTGAGTTTCAGTGAGATGCTTACATTGGTTGACATTTTCTTGGGTTATTTACACAGATGGTGAATCTCAACAATTGTTCTAGAATATAATATTCACAACAAAAATATTCTAAAGATAAATATTAACATTAATAGTATTTGACTGTGGGATTGAAGGAGTTTTTTGAAATATAATCAAAAACAAAGAGTGAATGTTTTAAATCAGACCTTGAAGATAGCATATTTGGCAAGACATACATGTACATACCATATTTCAACGCCTATGGGGTGGGGACCAGTCCAAAGGGTAAGTTGAGAGGGACTTCCAAATTGACATGTAATCGTTTAAAATCCAGATTAAGGGGCGTTTACAGAACCCAACAACGGCAGGAGTTACTGCTCAGCTATGTAGCATATAAGTGGGAAGCGTACATGTCGCAGAAGTAAAAGACCTAGCACCTGTCCCTAGCTATGCCACCGTTAGTTAAACGCCCTAAAGTTTCAGACATCTGTTCCATTACTCACTTCCATCATCTAATTGCCTTTCAGTCCTAGAGTTGTATCTGTTCACATGACACTCCAGTAGGAGGCTAGGGGACAATTACTCTATGATCCTTCCAACAAATCAAATGAAGTGCCAAATGCCAAAATGAAACCTATAAAGTGAACTATATTTAAGTACAAATATGTAATACGTGCTAAGACATCGAAGCCTCAAAAATCACAATGAGTCACCAAACGCACTTAAAAAAAGTAATCAATAGCCTCTGAATGTTTCTATAAAAACCTCAAATAAAAGGAAACGGCTCGTTAAAATGAGAAAACGCATCTTTTAAAAATGGATTAAAATTAGACATGCCGCAGCTGTTAAGGTGTAGTATTATTAGAGTTATCTCTTTCACCACTGCCATCTTTGATCTGAACCATCTTCATAAATGATTTCCGTACCTCTGGCCACTATTGTTGAGCTTCCTACTTAAGGCTTCTCTAGGTGGTATGAGTATGCCTTTTGCCAATTTTAAATACAGCTTTATTTTAAGACATTGCATTTTGCACTGAGAACATGGCACTCATGAAAGGCAGTATTGACTTGATGTCTTTCCCTGTGCATATTCTATGCTCACGTATGGAGAAAGCCTAGAAATGGAGGATAGCAGCTTGGATTCCGAAACGTAACCCTGTTTTTGACATGATTGTGGATACAAGTGGGTACACGTAATTTAATATTTTTATTTTGTGTAGGAGGAATCTGTGACCCTGGAGACTCTCATGAGAATGATGTTATCCTGTACGCGAAGATTGAGGGGAGAAAAGAGCACATCGCCTTGGATACACTGTCTTACTCCTCATATAAGGTAGACATGTCCACTGGTGAGCTTAATGACCCCACCCCAGGCCTCCCTGGGATGAGCCAGGTCATAAGCATGAAGAACACCCCACATGCAGGCAGCATGTGTTTGCATGGAATTAACCAGCATTAGATCACAGAGGCATGGCCTTTTTGACATTCCCTGCTGCAAATGGAAAAGTGATGTTTTATCGAGAAGAATGGATTACAACCTCTCAGAAACAACAAAGAGGATCCCAATCCTCCAGCTGACAATTATTCTCATTCCGAGAAGTGACTCTAATTATGCAGCCTCGCTGGTGTGCTATCAAGCACAATGAGTAGCCCACATTCTGAGATTTCCTAGGCAGAACCCCTTGTACAAATACCTTTGCTTCATTCCTGACTATGAGAGTCACTGAGGATGACCTTCCTTTTCCTCCCATTGGTTGTTTACGACAGATGCTGACTCTGAGATCAAAATATTCTAAACTCGTGTGAGATGCTCTTCATCAGATGTAAACTTACTTTCTCTAGTAGATCTTGGTGCTCAGACTGGTCTACTGGTCATTAGCTTTCTCTCCACCCTGATGGAACCCCAGGGGCATTAAGAAGCTTGACCATAGCCAACACCTAATATTGCATGGTTCGAGTTAAGAATATAGGAGGTAAATATCAGGCTGAAATAGGAAACAACCAGACAAAGTATTGAGCTCACTCCACATGCAAGGGAAGCCAAGTTATTAGCACTTGGGATTTGGTAATGGACTTGTTTTCCAGCAGTGACTGATGAGGCAGGGTCATGCCTGTTCTGGTTATCTGTGTGCCTCAGACCAAGTCATTCAGGCGTGTTACTATTCCCTAACTTGTGGTTTCCAGCCGTTTCTGCTAAAAACCCAATTCCAGTAGACCATGTTTAGAAAATGCCTTTGCCTTGTGCTAAAACCTACACCTGCATCTTTTTAAAGGTGCACATCAGTTTGCCCTCAGACACACAGAGCCTGCTGAGTCACACACAGAAAGCACCACCAGCGTGCTCACTCTCACTGCCACTGGGTCCGTTCTGACTCATAAAGCAACCTTACAGGGCAGAGTAGAGCTGCCCCGTGAATTTAGGAGACTGTAACTCTTGAAGGGAGGAGAGACCCACACCTTTCTCTAGCAGAGCTGCTGGTGGTTTCAAACTGCTGACCTTAAAGTTAGCAGCCTAAGGGGAGAATTCCAAGTGACTAAGTGGATGCTTCCTGAGGACAGCATCTTCTACAAGGGCATTGCCGGGTGCATGGTGGATGCGAGTTGTGGTCGCTGGATAGAATCTAGGGGCACTCACAGACGGCTCTCTGAGGGAAGAGAATGAGGGACTTGGTTTCCTTTGTTTTGAAGGTTCCAACTTTGGTTTCTCTGGTCATCAATCCCGAACTTCAGACGCCTGCTACCAAGTTTTGTCTCAGACAAAAGAATCATCAAGGATATAATAGGAATATCTGGGCAATAGACTTCTTCCATGTCTTACCTGTTCTCCCGACGACGATGTCTCACATGGTACAGTTTTCCATTAATCTAGGCTGTGGGACGCATCAACCCGGTAACAGGTAAGAAGTCCTATTTGGTACCTTCTGGACTAATAAAAATGAGAGTGTGGACTGAGCTAGTAACTCTGAGGCAGCTTCCCAGTGGGGTTTTAGCTGCATTGTTAATAAACTATTCACGTACATAATACACACTTTGCCAAAAAAAGATAAAGTTCTTTAATTAATACCTAGTATTTGAGTGGGTAGATTTTAAGTAGCGCTCACTTTGTTTTAATAGCTTGGCCTTCTTTATCAGAAGTGTTTGCATGTACTGTGGGTGCCATCTTCTTGGCAGATTACTGAGAGAGATGGGCAAGAAAAAAAATGGGTGGGGGGGAGTTGACCTCCGTGTCAGTTAGTGACCCCCTAATAATAGGCACAGAAATCAATTAGCACTTCAAGAGCGAGGGCTTCACAGTTTCACTTGCTGAAGTGTTGCTCCTGTCCTTTCTGGCAAGGATTTTATCTTCTCAGTTCGCATGCAGAAGTGACAGTGTGAGACATGGTAATTGCCTTGCCATCTATCAAATTTAAGCACACCAGTGTGCTTGAATTGCCGTGTGTTTTCCTTAAAGCCTAGCTTATGTATAAAGCACTAATTTAACTGCTTGCCCTTTGAAGGCTGGTCTGATGTCCATGAAGGGGAAAACAATCATTCCAGAATGAGCACCCTACAATTTGTTACCCTCGTCCCACAGATACGGAATGTGCTTAGTCAGAGATGAATAACGCCATTGTATTTGTTATCTTTGCTCCTTGTCTGCTGTGCTTGCTCTGGTGTCATCAGTGTCAGCTTGGAATTTTCTACCAACCATGGGCGCTCCTGGTCCCTCCTTCACACCGAGTGTTTACCTGAGACCTGTGCCGGACCCCACCTCCCACACAGCACCGTTTACTCCTCTGAGAACTACAGTGGGTGAGTGAACCAGCTCTGATGGAAACTGGAAACCAGCCAGTGTAAGCCCCAGACGAGTAGTGGGGACATAGTAAGTAAGGAGCCTGTCTTCTCTTTTTAGCTGATACGGGGCGATCTCATTCATGAATGACTTTTTTTCTTTTACTTAAAAAACAAAAGACAGTATCTTTGGTAAGATTGACAGATCATCGTTGTATGATCATTCATAAAATGTATGATCATTGTAGCTTCATGCATTTCCTCTTTATGACATAGCTCTGATACTTGGGGTTACATGAAAAAGTATCTGTATGGCCTAAGAGTCCTGTGGCTATTGCCAACAAATTTATTTCCCAAACGCTTACTTTTGGAGAAATGCAGCATAGAGAAATAGAAGAAACTCAAGATTTGGAATGAGACCTCATTTCAAATTCTGGCTCTGCCCTCTAATACCTGTAGAATGGCATTGACTTTCTACTCACATAAAGAGTTGGAGTCTAGAAAAGCCCAGAGGAGCAGTTCTCCCCTGTCCTGTAAGCTCACTATGACTCAGAATCTGCTCATGGCTGTGAGTTTGGTTTGATTTAGTTAACTTTCAGAGTTTGTTACTCCAACGCAGCATGATTCCAAGGTGTGCAGAGACTGACATCACCATCGGGTAAAACAAATTCGAAGGTGGTGAGCATAAACGTGAAGCTGGTTTTGTGCTAAATTTCTTGCAGGTGGAACCGAATAACGATTCCCCTTCCTAACGCAGCACTCACCCGGGACACCAGGATTCGCTGGAGACAAACGGGACCGATCCTTGGAAACATGTGGGCAATTGATAATGGTTAGTGTTTATGCCTGTCATAATCACATGCCATTGATGTAGCGTCTTCCTGTCCTTTTTGTTCATCAGCACAGATTTAATCACTTTTCTAAGTCCTGGTCTTGCAATTCATTACACATCCTTTCTTCCTTTTCGCCTTTGCATTCTGTGAGAAGCCCATGGTTACACAAAAAGTCAGTAGAGTCAGCGATATTAGATGCTAGACTGTGTCAACATACATCATTTGAAAATGCATGAAGCTCTGAAACCCAAATTCCGAGTCTTGATGACAGGGGGTATCCTAACATTTTCTTTGAATGTTTTACACAAAATTAACATAAAATCTTACCATGCTGCATGTATTAAAATAGCACCCATTCTTCTCTAAGCAACTACCACAACATCTGGCTGGAGTGCTTATCTGTTAGATGCAGACACCACACATAAGAGAAACATCAGTTCCCAAATGCTTGTGAAACTTTTACCTCCTCTTCCAGAAGTAGCTGAGAAGGAAAACTGGAAAATGCACACAAATATGCTATGTTATCTTTAATTTTCTTGCATCATTTTCGTTTTGGACAATACATAATTAGATAAAATATTCTAAGTTGTTGGGGATGTCATATATTTTCTCCGAATGGTCACATTTTCTGTCTGATTTTTATAATTGAGATTAAAGGTTGACTCCTAGCTCTCCTGTTTTCAGAGAATGTGTAGACTTGCGTGAAGGTTATACTACAAGGAAGAAGAAAGGGAGAGAGGGAAGGAAGGCAGGAAGGAAGGAAGGAGAAAATGTCAACACTCAAGTAAATTGAGCTTAGCTATTAATTTGAGGCCCAGTTTATACATTGGTGAAAATTACATCATTGCTTAATGCTGATTTTCCATGTTGTAATAATCTTTTTTTTTTTTTAATTTTGGCATTGAGAGACAACAAATTAAATACATTTTTGAGACCTTAGGAGTCACTTCAGGCCAAATAATTTACTGATGAGCCAATATGAATTCTGTAAACAATGTCTATATTCAAAGAAGACCAATTTAAATGCCCAGACTTCAAAGACCATGTGATTTATATGAATACTGTCATAGTGTGTCTGCCGAAACAAAAATCTAAAATGAATTTGTTAAAATGGAGGTTCTCCATTTGTAGAACATTTTGTGTTCCATCAGAATGACTGTGCCTCTTCACCAGCTCCCCGAGATCAAGTCCATGTCCCTGGGGAGCAGGGCGAGCTTGTTGGGGGCAGTCAGGTCAATTCCAACTGTGCACAACAGAGAACGGCAGGGCCTGCCCCTGCCCACTGTGAGAGGATAAGGTGGCTTTTCCTGATCCTGTGTATAAGTCCTATAATGGATCTGTATTAATCTGAGAAACATGAAAGAAATTTTAAAACTAGTAATGAAGTAAAGTGTATGGAGAAATCATGAATTCAATGGCACACATATGGAGTAGCCTGTGAGAAAAATATCTAAATTCCCCAAAGAAGTGTCTTGCAACATGCGTTCACTCCCTCTGAGCAACTACTATATCATGCTTTGAGAAGACTCCCTGCAGGTGAAATCCTAGCCTGAAGGTTGAGAGTGGCTGGCAGTATGGATTGATGGAAAACTTGGAGCAGAAGCACCTAGTTCTGTTGACATCCTGACGAAGGCGTTCACAGCCCCAGGAAGTCTCTGGCTTCTCCCCAAAGGCAGAGGAGGACACACACTTCTTCCTGAGAGAATTATGTGCTAACTTTCCAACAAACCACCAGAAATCTCTCTCATTTCCTCATGAGACTCTCCAGTTATCATATTCTGCTAGGCATGCTCTTTCCTTCATGGTGGGGCAGCACCTCATTGTGTGTGAGGAATGCACTTTGGAAATTACCCTGAAAGTCTTAGCAGATGGAAAGTCTTAGATCGGAGTATGTTGTCACTTAATTTTTACCCCCAAGTTGATTACGTTGATGACAATAATGAATAACACGAATATGTCCTTCCCATTCCCTTAGGAAAAAGGCCATTAACTCATACCGTGGACTGCAGTGACTGAATCATTATTAGTAAGGACGACTGATGACAAAAATTTAAATTGCAATTTTTTTCATTAATTTGGAAAGATGTATTTTATTGTTGAAATGCTTTATGATGGAGATTATTTCTTTTTAACTCTGACCTGGGTGCACTACGGGCAGCAGCCAAAGACCTCCTGGAATGCAGGGCCCACTTGTAGAACAGTTCCCCAAGTGTGTCGGGGAAACAATCCATGTTTTCCAGGCCAAAGACGCATGGAGCCCCTTCCTAATTCTGCAGCCCTTGGTGCGGTGTGGAAGAAGGAGGAGGATGAAGGACACTTAACCCCTGGTAGTTATGATGGTCATAACCAGATGGTGCCAGGTGCCATAGTAAGCACGGAACACATCATTTATTCTCTCCACAAAGGAGAATTACCCACCGTTCATGGGACAGGGACACTGAGCCCTAAACAGGATACATCATTTATCCAACGGTTCCCAGATGAAACCAGGATTTGAATCCTGAATCCCTGGGCCCCTAAAACAAGTACCCTTCACCACTCCGCCTGCCATGGAATCACTTCCTATGCCAACAAACGGTTTGTTACAAACCCCTTCACCTGCTGGTTCCCATTGTTTCCCACTTGAACTGCAGCACCGGTTCAGATTCATTGGCTCCAGGGAGTAAGGATTTGTAGGAGTAAACACCATAGGAAGGTTTGTGCTCTCTTTTAATAGCTTTAACTATTTAGCATGATAACAAGACTGAGCAGAACATGATCATGAATGGTAAGGTTTTTTTATGCCTGAAATTGACTATGCAAGATCTTGGTGACCCGTTTCTACTGTATGATGTGTTAGTGATTGTGTCGATTATCAAAGGCTTCAAAATCTTTAAATGTATTTAATTCTGAGTATCAAGGAAACCTACTGATTATTCAGCTATCAAAAGTGCTTTACTCGGCATTCCAGAGGTTAGAATACATGTTGTGACATCAAATTATCAGTCAAGCCAGCATTTAGGGTGCTCTGGGTCAGAATCAACTCGAGGACAGTGAGTTTGTTTTGATGTTGAGATCATGTAGAAGACTTCATGCTTAACTACAGATTTTTCACTTCCCATTCCCAGGAAGGGTGGGTGATGTGCAGAACTAGATGTAGCGATTTTCCGCACTCAGCTGTAGACTTTGCCCGTTTAAGAATGGGAGTTACAGGTATGACCTCTCTTTCTGGTGACCATCAAACTGAACCTTCATCAGTTCTATATGTCTAAACACACAATCCGGGTTTGGGGAGCATTTAAGACTGAACCACTACCAGTCTGCCAGAAATAGCTTCCGCACCAAGACAGAGGCGCTCTTTCAGGAACCCAGTCTCATGCCCTTGCCTCCTTGCCTGTGGCACATCAGCATCTTGAAAGGGTGGTCTGTGTAAGTAAAACAGGCCCAGCAGATTGATAATGAAGAGATTCCCTTGTCACATAGCACTCCGTCTGTCACTGAACTTCTGTGCACAGCGACACAGAAATCACGCCTGACCCGCCGTGGCCCGTGTTTCACGGGTCTTGCTTCAGAATGCTGTTTCACCTGCTGATCGTGCTCTTCGTCCTCCGGTTGTGTCACTTCTTTCACATCGTCTCTTTTGCTTTGCAGTTTATATCGGCCCATCATGCCTCAAATTCTGCTCTGGCCGAGGACAATGCACGCGACACGGGTGCAAGTAAGCATTTTAAAATATTATTGGTGCTTCTCTTCTTTTGATGTGTATTTATGCTGAAACCACGAGCCACTTTATTTTGTTTCCATTTCCACTATAGGCTTTTGAGGTCTTGTTGTGATTTAAGAACAGGATATTCCAAGTGGGATTTAAGTGTAAGAGAACCACAAATGCATTGTCTTTAAGTAGAAGTTAAGTAAAAATTTTAGGAGGGAAATGCAAAGGAATTTTACCTATTGTTCTTTTGAATTCCTCTTAGTGTGATGACCGCTTATTCTAGCTTTTGTTACATTCTTCAATATGCTGTCTTTCCTTAGCTTGTTCCACTATGTTTAAGTCATATTTTAATTTCTAACATGCTTTGAAAATGGATTTTAGAAATCAGTAATGACCCATAGACCCACTCCTCAAGGGAAATGGAACAGATCGAATTTAACACTTTACAAGGAAATTAATCACCTTTAAATATACTTTTTGTGCCCTTACTTCTTAAAGCATCTAGATCGTCAAAGAGATGCAGGCAGTGTTTTACAAAGTATGATATTTAATATGAAGTCTGAAGGTATATGCTAAGGTGATTGTGCTTTTTATACCAAGAATAAATATTCACGTTTATTACATTGTTTTTATATTAATATTTAATTTTAAAATATACTAAGAATTCCTGAAACTACAGGTAGTCTTGCTATATACTATTATATTTCAACAAATGGATTGTCTAGTCTACCTCTTATTGTTCTCCAAGGCAGAACCTTATTTAATTAGCTAACTAATTAATGAGGAATTTATACATGGGGATTTAATATGAATATTTAAAAATTACATGTATGAGGCAAGACATTTCCAACACAGAGATTAGTCTATCTGGCTAACTTTTAAACTCTATTTTATTGAATCTAATGATCAAACAGACCATTCTTATTTCTTTCTACACAAAGGAAATATAGCGATAAAATTTAGAAATTATTCCTAAAGTTTCTATTCTTACAAAACTGAATATGCAGCTTTTATAGAAGAAAGAGTTCCTTTGAATAAAATCCCTAACACTCTCCCACCCCTGCCCCCAGAGAAACTGACTCAGTAGAACTATCAGACCCATGGGCTGGTGTTGGTTTCCCTAATGTTATTATCGTCACTTGTTAGCCCTGCCCAAGCCATCCTCTTATTTAAAGCATTTCAAGAAAAATTATCATAAGGAGCCCAGGCTTTATTGCAAAGTCTGAAATTGTCCTGAAAAGTTTTGAAAACAAATTATTTGAAAAATGATGGCTGATTTTATTAGATTAAAATAGAAAACACTGTTAAAAAAAAAGACCTGTCTATAATTACCACAGTTATTCTTTATATGTCGTTTTTGTTGCATAATATTACTGGTAGCATTAACTGGTTTTATTGAAACAGCCATCTGTGTCACCTTTGATAAGTGGTGACAGAAATCTAAATGGCAATTGTCAATCTTTGGGCATCGTCCTTTTGAAGCACTATATATTATCTTGAATGAACTTGAATGAATATTTTCACCAGTTGGGATTTTGTTGTTGCTCTATATCTGATGATTCTTTATTTAAATCCCATTACTTGTGTTCATCTTGGGCTGGGCTGGGCTGTTAGGCCACTACCTCTTCCAGCATTATGCAAAATTGCAGAGAGAGTGAAATTCCTATTTTGTACTATTTCCAGTAAAACCTACCAAAGCTAGACCCTGTAAGGGCGAAACCTGTCAGAGAAAGAACGCCTTAAATATTTTTCAGTAACAGAGAATGCTAGAAAAGTGGTAAGAATATACTTTGTCTAAGATGGAAAACTTGCAAGACCTGGAAAAGCCAAGGCAGTGCCATCAAGTTCCGGCTCTCACAGGCTTCATTCTGTTCCCTTTAAAGAGTTCTCTGGATCTTGAACTTCTGCAGCTTTGTGCTTTTCTTTGTGCTCTGCTCCCCTTCAAGTACTATTGTTTGCTACCTGACACAAGTTTCTAAATGGACTGCTCACTAGCCTGATATAAGCAGAGAGGAGAGCGATCATTAGAAATCTGCCTATAAGAGCCTCAACCCTGTGTCTTAGCAGTGTGGCTGTTCCCCTAACAATGATGTAGTATTTCAGGGATCTCATGGGGGATATCCTGGATTTTGTGTCTTTTCTGAAATTGTCAGTTTGTATCACCCTCCCTCATGTTTTGTTGCCCAATCAAGATTATTTAACAAAAACATGAGTGGGATCTTTATCAGCATTCTATCTCAATGTTGTAACCTTTGGGTACATTTTGAAAGCCACTGAAGGGAAACGCCGCCGATGTGAGTCATCTCTCAGTGGTCACCAGTTTCTCCCCATCATTAGCCCAGGAAGACACAGTTAAGACTCTGAGAATGCATTGGCCGGGAAATGCACTCTGCAGTAGACGGTCTGTCTTGTTGAAGGGACACAAATTCCAGTTTGTGACGGCATGGGGGGCGGCCAAATCTGACCTCCTCAGGCTTCCCTGTCGCCATGAGACGTGGTCAAGGCCTCCCCGCTCCTCCTTATTTACCTGCTCTGACACCAGCCCAGTGCCACTCTGCTTCTATGCTGGGTTCCCTAGTTCACGTCAATGGTCACTTGCAGACAAACACTCAGAACTCACAGATAAACACACAATTATGGGGGTTTTTAGGGACACTCATAGGTTACCACAGGTCCGGAGAGTAAACCGTACAGATAGAGTTATTGGTCCATGCCTATCCTCAGCCAGCAGCCAAGTGTCCCTCCAGTCCTCAGCCTCTCTGCCCTGGGTCCTGGTCTCTGCCTCTGTGGAGTAGGAAACCCCCAGGCCACCCTTCACTCTGTCTCACAGTCCTATAGTCTTGGCACTGCTGTTCTGTTCTGTCTCTTGGTTTCCTTACTTTGATCTCTGGTCTAGGCCTGGATCCTTTATTCTGTCCCATAGTCTCCACCCCAGTTTCTGGCACCTCTGGTCTCTGCCTTTGACACCTCATATGGCGAGCTACAGCATGCTCTTCCAATGAGCCTGGGATTTTTGTCTCTGTCGGAGATGGTGCTTGTGCACAGAAGAATGGCTTTGAGGCATGGCTTTTGTCTTTCAGGAGGTCATGCCCCAAAGGAAACAGAGGATGTGACTTGGTTCACCCCCTCTACTAAAGTCAGGGCTTAATTCACCTTAATCATGTCTATTATGTAGCAGAGAGCTCCCTCCAAAATGGCATTAGAGCCACATGGATAGAGTCCAGAATTACAATATATGATGTAAAGAATTAAAGCTAGAAAGGCCATATTAATTGACTTCATTTCACAGAATATGTATAGATATATACATACACCAAATTGATTCTGACTCTTAGTGAACTTATAAACAGAGTAGGACTGCCTCATCATCTCCAAGACAGTAGTAGGTAAAAAGATATACTCCCACATTTTCCTTCCAAGGAATGGCTAACGGGTTCTGCCAACCTTTCAGGTAGCACTACCAGGCCTTCTTCGAGAAAGTGATAATAAAGTCCAAATAAATCATTTGAAATTAATTCCCAATAAATGAACTCATTAAAACATTCACTTTTTGAGTCAACTGCGATGACATTTTCTCGCTGAAAGACTTCAGTTGCTCCGTACATTTCAGTCAGCTGTCGGAGATACGGCGTACTCCTGCACGGCAGCCGGCAGGTTGGTGATGGTGTGCCTGTGCGCAAATGTGTTTCTTTTTCTTCTTGAAGAGCCACTACCGTGGCTCCCCCCTGGGAAGGAACACAGTACTGCAAAAGAGCCACACCCTTTTGAACATGAATCTGAGTTTGTAATAATTAAACCTGGATTTCACAATAATACCAAATATTTCCAAAAAATCCATATCACAAGCACAAGGCATATTTTTATTCTTGTTCTTAGAAGAAATTTTTTACAGATACTAGAAGTATTTTATTTATGATTCTTTTATAAAATTTGATGAATGCTTTTATGAGTAAAATTATATGTATGTGTGCATGTATGTATATATATATATATATATATATATATATATATATATATATATATATGATAAACCTTTTATGAAGATTTTAGGTTGGAAATGGATATGCACATAGATGGGTTTCCAGATAAGTCAATGGCATGACTGCTGGTGAGCACTGATTTACTGTTTTAATCACAGCCGTTTTACGACAGAGTTGTGCAAAGACTGCATGCTTACGGAGAATTTACAGTTGACGTGCCCTTGCCAAGTCTTCAGATTCAGTGTTCTCCACACTATTCGGGCAAACCTTCCTGTTCCCCAAAGAAGACTTTGGAATCTCTAACAAGAAGAGCACTTTAAGATGTAATTTCACCCTTATTTCTCCCAGGTGTGACCCTGGATTTTCTGGCCCCGCTTGTGAGATGGCATCCCAGACATTCCCAATGTTCATTTCTGAAAGTTTTGGCAGTTCCAGGCTCTCCTCGTACCATAACTTTTACTCTATCCGTGGTGCTGAAGTCAGCTTTGGCTGCGGTGTCTTGGCCAGTGGGAAGGCCCTGGTTTTCAACAAAGACGGAAGGCGTCAGTTAATTACATCCTTTCTTGACAGCTCACAGTCCAGGTGAGTTAGGGCAGAGTGGGACATAGATTCTAATAATGAAATTTTAGATATATTTCTTTTCATTGTTCTTTTTGCCAAGATCTACTTCTTCCAATGTTTGTTTAGGATGGGAGGCAGCTTACAGTTTATTTAGGGTTAATTTGCCCTAGTTTTTAATAAATTAGATAGCTCACCAATGGCTTTAACATACTAATGACTGACTCGATTTTTTTTATTATGAAATGTTAGCATCAAAACCCTGTTCTTATGCCAAGGGCTAGTTAATTATTTATGAAGTTTTATTTATTTGACAGCTTGCAGAGGCTGATTAGATTTACCCTACATTTTCCCTTCCCCCAGTGCCTGATAAATAATGTAGTAAAGGGATGATGGGCATTTAAGTGTACATGCACAAGTACATCGTATACAGATATGTATAAACATGCAGTTATATTTGTATGTATGTCCCTGTGTATAAAACATTGACCTCATCTTGTACATGTATACACACAGCTCACAAAAATTGTATCTTTCTAAAGAACGACTCACAGCCTTTTGGTGGTTCATCTAAATTGGTTTGAAATTCTTCTAATACCATGAAAAGAATGATGATAAAATGTTTCCTTTAATGCATGCGTTCATTATAGACTGTCCCCTAGGTTTCTCCAATTCACACTCAGGCTGGGGAGCAAGTCTGTCCTGAGCACATGCAGAGCACCAGACCAGCCTGGCGAAGGAGTTCTATTGCATTATTCCTACGATAATGGGATTACCTGGAAACTCCTGGAACACTATTCATATCTCAACTACCATGAGCCCAGGTATGTTGGACAGGCAAGAGTGATATCCCCTTCCCAGGGACATCATAATTCAAACAGTGTAAGGTTCTATGTGCCTCCCCACTGAGAGGTGACAAGGACAAAGATTAATGTGTCTGTCTTGCAGTGAGCAGCTACCAAGCCACCTCTTTCACCTAATCCATTTATCCTCGCTGACACCTGATAATTTAAGAAACTCAGTCTTATATTTTGAACTGTGCATTTAAGTGAAGTATTTTGATGATTAGGTAAAAGAAAAATGGCTAATATTGTATTTTCCTTTATCAAAAATAATATAAACTTTTAAATATGACACTAACTTAAAAATTAATTAACAGATATTTGTTAATAAAAGTATAAGACCAGATACTTAAATACATGAGTGAGGTACTATTCATAAAATATGATAATCAATATCAGGTTAATATTTGCACTTAATATAATTAGGTAATGAATACACGCAAAAATATCTGGCATTGATAGTCTGTAGCAAAATGGAGGGTGAAAATCTCTTTAAAATATTTTTTTCAAGCCAGTTCTTAGTTAATGTACAAGGGAGCTTCAAAAAGTTCATGGAAAATTCCATTATCTCTTCATTCCATTTTTCCATGAATTTTGACCACCAGCACGCCCCCTTGTATAGCCTCGAGCTCCAATTTTGAGGTTCTAATTCAGCTTGGCACAGGGCCATCCTTCAATGGCAGCAGAATAAAAACTACAATTAGTAATAATGTTGTGGAAGTGTTTGTCAGATTCCCTCTTCCTGCTCACTGACATCTGTTTAAAGAGAAGAGTCAGAAAAGGGTAGGAAATCTCAATGCAGTGCTTAAAGTCAAAATACCATCATTACATTCACAGTCGGGTATAAAGAACTCATACAGTCTCCCTTCCTGAGAGTACATTTTGATTGTGGGAAGATGTGGAAAATTGTGAGGGTTTGGGCCATAGAGGTTTTCATTAGCGCTATCACAAGATGACAAGGTGCAAGACAACTTCTAAACGTTTAAGTTTGTGCTTGAGAATGCCCCAAAATAGTGCTTGTACAACCCGAAGAGTAGAATCAATGGCCCAGAATTATACATGTAGAAGTTTTTGAACTGAAGAGTGTTTCGTTGTTTATATTTTTGTCACAATTAAAGAAAAATAATCACATGAAGAAGAGTACAAGGAAGAAGAAAACGTTCTAAAATTGATTATGGTGATGATGGTACAACTCTTCTTGATATCATTGAATTATTGAATTGTATATAGCATGTAGATGAAGTGCCAATAAAACTGTTAGAAAATGCCTAAATCTTTGCAAATGGATAAGACTGTTTCTTTTCATGGAAAATGAAGTGATGTGTAGCAGAGATAGTAATTAACCATGCATATGAATTATAAATAGTATACATTATAGAAGTACCAGAAGTACTGAGCATTTTCCTCAGTTGGAAACTGTCAGGCCAAACTCAAGTTTCCCATTCAATAGGAACACACGAATTCTAAAGAACCATCTCAGAGAGTCTTCATAGTCAACATTAAAAGAAAATTAAGCAAAAATCAAGATGACAATAATGATGAAAAAAATTAATAACATATCAGTGCCTTAAGCCAGCATGGTGCCATAGTGGGTTATGTGTCGGGCTGCCAACCACAAGGACAGCAGTTAGAAGGCACCAGCCGCTCTGCAGGGAAACATGAGGCTTTCGACTCCCATAAAAAGAGTTACACTCTTTAAGCCCACAGGGGCAGTTCTACCCTATCCTATAGGGCTACTGTGTGTCACATCCGGCTAGACGGCAGTGAGTGTTTGTAAGTCAGCATGGCCTGAAGCACAATATTCTTTTTTCTTACAAGGATGGCCAGCTGCAAAATTCAGTAATCAATTAATCAATCTATAGCATGAAATTTAATTAATCATTCTTGATATGAAAAATAATCACATATTTATTGTGCTACTGCAAAGGTGTGTTTAATCTTGCCCACCACTTGACAGCACCATTTTTCTTCTAGGCAGAATCAAGGTGCCGTTTCAGTAGTAAGTGTGTGCATAGCTTGAAAGACTAAGATCAAGACAGAGACAAGAAAGGAGAACCTACTAGGGATTGTTAGAAGATCCTTTTTATTTTCTATATAAGAACCTCTGTCTGTGAGACTCTTCCCCCCCCCCCCCAAATATTAATAAAAGTGGTAGGCTAGGCTTAGATACAATCTGGATATTAAATTATATTGTATGATAAGTAATACAAACCATATAAATTCTTCATCACAGAGTTAAGTATTTCTAGATTCTTTTTAACCACTTGCTATATACTTCAGTATAAATGACTGCCTATAATTGATGTGGGTTCTATATTGTTCTTCTCTTCCATGGTTGTTTGAAAATGAAGTGTGATCTTTAAATGAAATATGCTAGCTTAAATCAATTTCAAATAATTTGCCTACCCATGATTCATTCAATAAATAAAAGAACTCTATCTGTCTCTTATATATGTAATGTTAGGCCTGAAAATAGATCTAAGTTATTCTTTTAATTCAAATTGACTGAAATGTCTTGTGAACTAATTGGTACCTTTGTAATGTAAAACATTACATCATTGGTGAGACTAAAATTATTCTCTTTTAATTACAGATCTTCATTTTTTTATTCTAAAATTATTGTGGAATCTAATCTTGGTTTATTTTTAATGCCTTGATTATTACGATTCCCCGTTGTTCCTATCATGTCACCCAATTCCATAGTACCTATCTTTATTATGCATTTTTTTAAAAAGAGATGCAGGAATTTAATGCCTTCCTTACAAAGGATTATTGAGACAGGAAATTGACTTAAATGTGTGGACCCTCCTCTAGGAATATTCTGATCAAACAGTTCTGTGGCTACCAGCCAATGTAATTTATGCATGTTCTTATTAGAGACCATTGAGTGAATTTCGATGTGGAGTCGCCCCATGTGATTAAGTAGAACTGTCCCCATAGGGGTTTTCTCGATTATCATCTTTGCATAAACAGACTGCCAGGTCTTTTTACATGTAGTTTCCATGTGGTCTCTAATCACCGTCCTTTTGTGAGGTCATCAGAGACTCCTAGGCCACCCCAAGATATGATCTGGTTAAGAATTTGTTCTCTTGATCCAGGCTACAGAGGCTCATACCCTCACATTGCTAGTTAGCAGTTGCTTGGCCTTAGAATAAACATTTAGTCAAACTCTTTGTGACTCCATATGACCATCTGTATCTGGGCGTAGTCATAATATGTGCTTCATTCGAGCAGAAGAATTGGTCATGCTTTCGTTGTGAACAAATGGTCTCTGGCCCTTGCTGGACGGATAATTATTATCTCAATTATACAGAACAAGATGCTGAGGGAAATTAAATACTCTCCCTGTGGCTTCAGAAACATTAGTCATCAATCTCAGAGTGAGGATTCTAACCCTTAGAGTCTGATGATAAGAGCATACATTCTTAACATCCCTGCTATCAAAATATTGGTCATTTCAATTGCTTCCAATATGTATACTCGGTTTATTTCCTTAAAAGTTGGCTGAGAAATTCTACTTTTTAGTTGTTACTTTTAAAAAGCACATTAATGTCTTAAAAATTATTCGTATAAAGGACAATGGTAATAAAAACACAGCACTTTTAATGTTTAGATTGATTGGGCTCCAGAAGCATTGATAATTTCATGCTTAGATTGAATGCAATGAAATGCATTGATAATTACTTTTGATTGGAATGCAAGAGTTGGAAACAAAGCACAAGAATCCGTAGTTGGAAAATATATCCTTGTTAATAGAAATTACACCAGAGTCATGCAAACCAGCAACCTGTTCATTGGCACTGCTCTTTCCCAACAACAACATCAGTGGGGACTACACAAGGACCTCACCAGATGGCACACACAGGAGTGAGAGAGACTATATTTGTGGAAGGAGACAATGAAAACACTCAGTGTCATCAGTCAGAGGTTACAAATTGGCTGCAGAGCAAGCAATTAATGCATCATAAGCAAGTTCAAGTTGAAGCTGAAGAAAATTAAAATAAGGCCACAGAGCCAAAGTACGACCACCAGTACCTCTCAACTAAATTTAGAGACTATCTCAAGAATATATTTGACACACTAAACATTTAAATCAAGAATATATTTGACACATTAAACATTGAAGGTCAGACAAGTTGGGGATACTATCATGGGCATCCTACACAAAGAAAACAAATGGCTACTGAAAACACAGGAAAGAAAGAAAACCTAAAATGGATGTCAGAAGTGACTCTGAAACTTGCTCTTGATTATTGAGTAGCTAATCAACTCAGTGGTACCTGTGTTAGGGTTCTCTAGAGAAACAAAACCAGGACACTTGTGACTAGATAGATAGATAGATAGATAGATAGATAGATAGATAGATAGAGCACGAAAGAATATAGCAGCTAATTAGTCCACACAGCAGTACAGAAGGCTCAGTTCAGCTCACTTCTGTGGAAGAGTTAATATACTAGAACTCCTTCAAGCCGCGAAGGCTGCTGGGTCCAAGGTCAAGGAAGCAGACAGCTGAGTCTACCCTAGAGCAATGCAGGCAGTCCGGTCACAGGCAGCAAACAGCAGGGCGGGTCACCAACAGTGCGCAGCTCAGGAGCGCAGTGAAGCAGGCCCGGATGGGATATCAAACTCAAGCAATGCAAACAACAGGATCCGCCAGCTTCAAGCTCAAGCGATGTATACACGAGCAGCGTGGCAAAGCAGGTCTCAAAGGGACCTGAAGCTCTAGCGACACGATCCACGGGTTGACTGTCCCACAGGTAGTATAGCACACAAGTTGAGAAAGAGAACTACCTACAGCAGCCACATGCTGGTCTGATCACCAGAGAGCAAGAGAGAGGGGTGGGGCTTGCCCAGCCATTTATCACTTTGCCCTCCAATCAAACTGCGACCTCATTAATCCCACATGTTCCTATTGGCCAGGGTGACATAATACACCTACCTATCACCGTACCTAACAATAAAAACAACAAAGTGAATGGAAGAAATGATGAAGTAAAAGAGCTGAAGAGAAGTTACCAAATGGCCACTTAAGAAGGCATAGTAAAATATTATAATGAAATAAAACACCTGGAGTTAGAAAACCAAGTGGAAGAAGAAACTTGTATTTCTCAGGTTGAAAGAACTCAAGAAAAAATTCTGGGCACATGTGGCAATATTGACGATTCTATGGGCAACATTTGAAATAATATAGAAAGCATCAAGAGAAGATGAAAGAATAAGCGAACTACTGTACTGAAAAGAATCGCTGGACATTCAGACATTCAGAAAGTAATTGTTAATCAAGAATCAATAGTACTGAAGGACGAAATACAAGTTGTAATGAGAGCTTTGACTAAAAAACAAAGCTTCTGGAATTGACAGACTACTAATTGAGATGCTTCAACAAACAGATGCAACACTGGAAGTGCTTATTTATCAATGCCAAGAATTTTGGAAGACAGCCACCTGCCCAGCCAACTAGAAGAGATCCCTCTCTGTGCCCATTCCCAAGAAAGGTGATCCAACAGAATGTGGAACTTAACAGTATCGTGAATACAATTTTGCAGAAGATAATTTAGAAACACTGACAGCAGTACATTGGCAGGAAACTGCCAGATTCAAGCGGGACTCTGAGAGAATGTAGAACACTGCATATCATGGCTGATGTGAAACGGATCTTGACTGAAAGAGAAAATACCAGAAAGATGTTTACCTGTGTTTTATTTGACAAAGCAAAGAGATTTGATTGTGTGGATCAAAGCATATAATGGATAGCATTTCAAAGAATTTGAATGCCAGAACACTTCATTGAACTTGTGTGGAACCTGTCCCTAGCCCAGTCTTCTGAAGAAAATAAGGAGATACTGTGTGGTATAAAATCAGGCAAAGCGTGTCTCAGGGTTATAGCCTTTTCCCATGCTTATTCAGCCTGTCTCCTGAGCAAATACTTCAGTGAAGTAGAACATGGCTGAGGACGGGAGGACATGACCTGTGATATGCATATGGTTCAACCTTGCTTGCTGAACAGGAAGAGAACTTTAAATGCCTACTGATAATGACCAAAGTCTGCACCATGGATCATGCCTTAACAGAAAAACAGACCAAGCCAAACTCACTGCCATCAAGTCCATGCTGACTCAGATTAACCCTGCATAGGGTTCCTGAGGCTGTAAATCTTTAAGGGCACAAATAGCCTTCTCTTTCTCCCTTGTGACAGATGGTGGGTTGGAACTGAAGTCCAATGCTTACTCAGCAGCACCACTAGGGTTTCTTTTAATAAGCATATATTTAGGAAAATAAAGTTTAAAAATTACTAAAATATTTAGTTTAAACTACTATTTTCTTTTAATCAAAAAAAGAAATACCATTGTGGAATAAAAGCCAGCAGTTTTATAGTATTACCAAACTACAAATATCACATGACTATGTTTTTTTTTTAGTTTAGTAAAGTGTTTTTTAGTTTTTATTTCTACATTTACAGATTTATTTTTAACTTGTTTAAGAAACACGTTTTCTGGTGTTACTAAAAGTTCCGTTGTTCTCTTAATGTTTTAAATGTAAACAATTAACAGCCATGTAATCCTACCCTATAGTCCCATAAATACATTATGGAAGGGAAAAACAAATGCATTTTTGTATCATTTACAGTGTGTAAAATTATCTTTCTAAAATGCAGTTTTAAATGTTTCTTTACACAATAAGTAGAAGTAAAGCATAATTAAAATTGTGAACATCAATCTAATTTCTCAGTAAATCCTATGTTAGACATTGAAATTTTTTAATAATTTATTTTTAAGTTACCCAAGTAGTCACTTGTCTGAAAAAGTACATCTTCCCTCATATAGGAAAAAAACCAACCTAAAACCCACAACACCCCCTCATCAGTGAGTGTTGACTGCAGGTACCTCCCTGGTATTGAACTGTACACTGATGGAGACAAATGCCCGTTTGTGTCCCATCTCACTCGTGTGTGGACGTGAGCAGCGCGGTGCTGTGATTTATGGGGCCTTCAAGCAGGTGTCACTGTAGTGGCAATTAATGTGTGGTTCCTGCTGCTGTGCACCATAATTGCTCCTTAAAATCAGATATTATTCTTCATTTTCTTCCCCAATTGTCAGGTACAGGTTTGTTGTCTTAGCCACCATGACACAGCAGGTGACCTCACACACTGTGCCACACTCCTGGGAATACAGAAATACACTGGTCCAACCAGACGAAAGCTCTAGTGTATGTAACAAGCTCCCCAAGATCCCGTACCAGACTGAGATGAATCTGGTCACGTGAGACAACCGTCTTTCATTGGATTCACTTTTCCAAGAGCAGTTGAGTGAAAGCAAGCTCACATTTGGGGAGGTGTTTGGTAGATTTGTCAGACTCAACCAAGAAACTGGAAATCTCAGGTGCATGGTTTTAATGGTGGGAGCACTGTTTGTTTTTAAAAGCTTTATGTCGGGCAGGAGACTGAACCCCTCTATAAAGGTTTATATTTTAAATGCAAAAGTAATCTGAACTTTGCCTTTTATTTTTTCCCTTTAGAATAATCTCCGTAGAATTACCAGATGATGCAAGACAGTTTGGAATTCAGTTCAGATGGTGGCAACCATATTATTCTTCCCAGGGAGAAGATGTGTGGGCTATTGATGAGATTATCATGACTTCTGTGCTTTTCAATAGCATTAGTCTGGACTTTACCAATCTTGTGGACGTCACCCAGTCCCTGGGATTCTACCTTGGAAATGTTCAGCCATACTGTGGCCATGACTGGACCCTTTGGTAAGAATTCCATTTTTCCTGTGGTTTATGTTCACATTACAAATTGCATTAGGGACTAGAACAGGAGGATAGTCATCCAGTCCATTCGCTCTTAAACATTTATTGACAGACAGTCACTAAGCATGAACCACTTGAAAAGCCAGCATTCTGCCTATACGTAAGAGGTTTCAGGAAGGGAGACTAAGCACAAAATGCCCAATATGTCAATATTATAAAATTTCAATATATTTATTAATCCCAAACTTTTGCTTCTACACACTTATATATATAAACTCTCTTCAAAAAGCACCAGGGACTACCACATTGTTCCTGCTTCTAGACCCACAATAACCATAGTGACTTTGGTCTCATGACTATTTTGATACAATTTCTCACTAGTAGTTCTGTAGTTAGGTAGATTTATATAAAGTCCTATACATTTTCTCAGTCCTAATCTGTCCATGGAGGATCCCTGGGTGCACAGTGGTTAAGGACTTGGCTGCAAACCTAAAGGTGGGTGGTTCAAATCCACCAGTCACTTCGCAGGAGAAGTATTTACAGACCTGGAGACCCTGTCAGGAAGTTCTGCCGTATCCAGTAGGACCGCTGAGTCAGAGTCAGCTCATTTACAATGAGCTTTTCTTGCTTATTTATTTATATTTATTAAGATCTCCTTGTTAAACCCAGAGAGAAAGGAACAACAAGAGATCTAAAATGGCGAGGAGGGTGTAGAACGCCTGGTGGGGTTTGATCAAGTGCAATGTAGCAGAGGAATTACTGAGAGCCAAATGAAGGTTGACCATCACAGTGGGACAGGAGGAGAGTAAAAGGAAATAGAGGAAAGAACTAGGAGGCAAAAGACATTTATAGAGGTAAAACTATAGGCATGTATATATGTAATTATATTAATATATAATGATAGGGAGATGCCTATGCACATATATTTATATATTATGTATCAAGGTAGCAGACAGACATTGGGTCTCTCAACTCAAGTCCTCCCTCAATGCAAGAACACTTTGTTCTAATAACCTGGCATTCTGTGATGCTCACTTTCCCAACACAATCGCTGAAGTCAAAATAGGTGCATAAGCAAATGTGGTAAAGAAAGCTGATGATGTCCAGCTATTAGAAGATAGAGCATCTGAGGTCTTAAAGGTTTGAAATTAAACAAGTCATCATCTAGCAGGGAAGCAACAAAGACCATATGGAAGAAGCACACCAGCCTGTGTGATCACGAGGTGTTGACGGGATCAGGTATCAGGCATCAGAAGACCCAAAACAAATAATCATATCGATGTGAACAAGGAGGGTTGGAGTGGAGACCAAAGTCCATCTGTAGACATATTTGACATCCCTCACAGAAGGGTCACATCGAAGGGACAAGTCAGCCAGGGTGTAGTATAGCACCTATAAAACATATAACATTCCTCTAGTTCTTTAATGCTCACCCACCCTCTCCCAGTCATGACCCCAGTTCTACCTTACAAATCTGGCTAGACCAGAGCATGTACACTAACATAGATAAGAGCTCTCAACACGGAATCCAGGACAGATAAACCCCTCAGGAACAATAATGGGAGAAGCGATACCATGAGGGTATGGGGGAAGAGGGGGAGAGAGGAGGAACCGATCATGATTTGTAATATCCCCCAACCCTGAGGGTGATGAACAACAGAAATGTGGGTGAAGGACACAGCAGACGATGTACAAAATGAAAATAATAATAATTTATCATTTATCAAGTGGTCATGAAGGTGAGAGGGTGAGGGAGGGAGGGAAAAAAGAGGAGCCAACCAAGGGCTTAAGTAGAAAGAAAATGTTTTGAAAATGCTGATGGCAACATACGTACAAATGTGTTTAATACAATTGATGTATAAGAGCTGTAAGAGCCCCCCCAGTAAAATGATTTAGTAAACAACAAAAAAGATCTCCTTGCTCAATCAATTTTATCAAGAAATATTTGATTAAAAAGGAAAAAAAGGAAAGAACTATTTGATTATGTTAGTTATAGGATATTCTAATCAAGATACTTTTATGGTGAGGGTTTTATTTTTCTCTTACAACCTTTAAATGTAAACAGTGGTGACAATCATGTTCTCTTACCCTATAGTCCCAATTTTTAATAAGATTAAAAGCTTAAAAAGCATAATTTCAGACTATGATTAGCATTTCAATGGCATCAGTAAGATAATATGATAGTGAGCACGGGGGTCAGAAGGTGGTCCTTAGGATCAGAGAACTTTTAAGAAACTCCTCAGAGGAGGCTTTGTTTGGTCAGGTAATAGAACTAGGAAGTTTCAGCCATGGGAAGCTCTTTAGGAAGAGCTTTCTAAGTACAGGAAACTTTGGGGTGCATTGATCCCAAGAGTGACCAAGACATATTCAAAGAGTAGGGGTGGCCATTGATGCTAGAGACCAGATAGTGAGGAAGCAAGTGTCAAGAATGGAGGCCGTAACCACGAGGTGTCGAAGGGATCAGGTGTAAGGCATCATCAGAACAAAAAATCTTACCATAGTGAATGACGGGGGGAGTGCGGAGTGGAGAACCAAAGCCCATTACTAGGCCACTGGAGATCCCCTTGCAGAGGGGTCTCGGGGAGGAGATGAGCCAGTCAGGGTGCGATGTAACAATGATGAGAAATACAACCTTCCTCTAGTTCCTAAAGGTTTCCTCCCCGCTCCCACTACCATGACTCGAATTCGATCTTGCAAGTCTGGCTAGACCAGAGGAGGTACACTGGTACGGATAGGAACTGAAAATACAGGGAATCCAGGACGGATGAGCCCTATAGGACCAGTGGTGTGAGTGGCAAAACAGGGAGGGTGGAGGGAGAGTGGGTAGGAAAGAGGGAACCAATTGCATGGAACTGTGTGTGGCCTCCTCCCTGGGGGACGGACAAACGAAAAGTGGATGAAGGGAGAAGTCGGACAGGGCAAGATATGACAAAATACCCATTTATAAACTATCAAGGGCTCATGCGGGAGGGGGGAGCGGGGAGGGAGGGGAAAAATGAGGACCTAATGTTGGGGGTTTAAATGGAGAGAAAATGTTTTGAGAAATGATGTACAAATGCGCTTTACACAATTGATGTGTGTATGGATTGGGATAACAGTTGTATGAGCCCCTAATAAAATGTTAAAAAATATATAATAAACACACACACAAAAAAAGAATGGAGGCCGTAAGATGAGCAGGGGCTGGATCCCTTTGGGCCTCGTAGGTCCACAGATGCTGGCGTGAAACTCAGGTCAGGTTGATTCTGAAGCCCACCATCATCACAACTGTGCTCACCATGGCTTCCTTTAGGACGTTAAATGTGATTGAGGAAAAATTTTCCAAGAGATTTTCACTTTTCTATTGAATCACCATCAGGCCAATTTAACTCCTCCATATGAAGCACGCCAAAATCTATTGGTTGCAATTGGCTCCAGAGAGCATCTCATAAATGCCCCACCAGCGACCTTCTCATAATGAGAGGTAAATTGTACACATCATTGCCCAGAAAATTACCTTTGATGGAAATCGTGCACGTACAGTCACACAGCAGGGTGAAGTGCAAGCGTTAAAACAACAGCTGACCGAGGAGGACAGCTGGTCACTCTGGCTGTGCGTGCTCGCAAACGAGAGAGAACGCCCTTTTCTTTTTTTATATCTGCATCTGTTTATTGCTGAAAAGTTTATAGAATTATACGTAAAACACGTTATTGAATAAGAAAACTATGTTGAGGTACAATTCTGGGAGATTGGGGACAGGAATGGGAATACAATTTCAAGGAGAAAAGATAACAAAGTAAAAATTCTGGCTACTAAAGGAGAGCCCATACATGCATTCTTAAAAAATAGATGGTGAACATCAAATCAAAATGAAATTTAGATTGTCCTCTATTTATTTATTTATGGATTTAATTGAACATTTATTGTAGCTTGGATAAAAGTTTCCAGGGAAAATTAGTTTCCCATTCAACAATTTAGTCTGTTTTTGAATTTTAAAGAATGATGTAACTTTTACTTTTAAATCAAATTATCACATGTACCAGAATTTAAACCTTTTTAAAAACTATTAACTTTTTTTAATGTAAAAAAATCAGTTGTATTTCTTTATATTTTAAAAATCATTTCATTGGGGACTCATACAACTCTTATCACAATCCATACATACTTCATTTGTGTAAAGCACATTTGTACATTCGTTGCCCTCATCATTCTCAAAACATTTGCTCTCCACTTAAGCCCCTGG